TGGCCAGGCTGGTCTCAAACTCCTGACCTGAGGTGATCCACCTGCCTCGGACTCCCAAAGTGCTGGGATTACAGGCATGAGCCAGCATGCCTGGCTATTTATTTTTGAGACAGGGCTTCACACTGTCACCCAGACTGGAATGCAGTGATGCTATCACAGCTCACTGCAGCCTTGAACTCCTGGGCTCAGGCCATCCTCTTGCCTCAGCCTCCCAAGTTGCTGGGACTACAGGCACATGCCACCATGCCTGGCTAATTAAAACAATTTTTTCTTTGTAGAGATGGGAGTCTTGCTATGCTGCCCCAGCTGTTCTAAAACTCCTGGGCTCAAGAGGTCCTGTTGCCTCCCAAAATGCTGGGATTATAGGCATAAGCCATCATGCCTGGCCCCTAGTCTCTTTTTGAAGGACTCCTCTAATTAGGACAGACCTACCCAGAATAAACTCCCTTTTGGTTAACCCAAAATCAGCTGATTAGGGACCTTAATTACATCTGCAAAATGATTTTTACCATAATCAAGGGAGTGACATCCCATCATATTCACAAATCCTGCCCACACTCAAGGAGAGGGGATTATGTAAGATGTGTACACCAGGAGATCGAAATCTTGGAGGCCATCTCAGAATTCTGCAAACCATGTGTGAGAGGGCGAGAGGAAAGGGAAGGGGAAAGTGCCAGGGTGGGTAACCTTTGAGCTGTGTACTGAAGAATGAATTTAAGTTCTCTAGGCTGCCAAGAAGGGAGACAAGTGGGTAGGGGAAAGGGAAGAGAGAAAAGAACATTATGGAAAGAGAGAAGGGGCCTGGTGCGGTGGCTCATGCCTGTAATCCCAGCACTGGAAGGCTGAGGCAGGTGGATCATCTGAGGTCAGGGGTTCGAGACCCCTCATGGCCAACATGGTGAAACCCTGTCTCTACTAAAAATACAAAAATTAGTCGGGCATGGTGGTGTGCGCCTATAATCCCAGCTACTAGGGAGGCTGAGGCAGGAGAATTGCTTGAACCCGGGAGGCAGAAGTTGCAGTGAGCCAAGATTGTGCCACTGCACTCCAGCCTGGGTGACAGGGAGAGACTCCATCTCAAAAAAAAAAAAAAAAAAAAAAAGAAAGAAAGAAAGAGAGAAGGTCACGAACAAAGTTTCTTCATGAACAAAGGGCATGAAGAAACCTGTTCAGTAGCAGTGGAGCTATCCAGTGGGGCCAATGTTCAGTGGGGATAGTGAGATCAGAGTTTGAAAGCGGGTAGGGAGCACAGAAAAGGTGGACATAATACTAAGACAAAGTACTGTGTACTTTCAATAAGCTCTTGGTCTCAACTCTTGGTGACTGTACGAGGTAGGCCAAAGACGAAAACTGTCAAACGACAGAAATTTCACTTTGAAGTTCCCTCCACCCCATTTCTCCACCCCATCCTTCCCATCTCCTTTAGCAAAGTCCTTTCCTCAGAGATCTCCCTGACCCCACCCAACACAGCACCACAACCCTGTTGGTCTAGCAGGGCGAGTAGCCGCCCTGTCTCTGAACCCTTATGCCTAGACTTTGAAGGGGGAACAGATTCTTGCTTACTGAGTCAGCCTCAGCTGCTTCCTTTTTGTGCGTGAAGAAGCCAAAGAGTGAGCAGATTGGAGAGGACTAGAAGAAGTCAGAGATGCTGGTCAATGGACACAAAAATAAAGAGCTAAAGGAGAGGTTGAGAGAGGGAGAGCAATATCTAAGGGTATCTGGAATTTTTAGAGGGCTCAGAGCAGCTATAAGACTTGGAGGAGGGGGCCAGGCATGGTGGTTCATGCCTGTAATCCCAGCACTTTGGGAGGCCAAGGCGGGCAGATCACAAGGTCAGGAGTTTGAGAGCAGCCTGACCAACGTGGTGAAACCCCGGTCTCTACTAAAAATACAAAACTAAAAATACAAACCACACCACTGCACTCCAGTCTGGCGACAGAGCAAGACTCTGTCTCAAAATAAATAAATAAAATAAAATAAAAATACAAAAATTAGCTGGGTGTGGCGGCGCGCACCTGTAGTCCCAGCTACTTGGGAGGCTGAGGCAGGAGAATTGCTTGAACCTGGGAAGCGGAGGTTGCAGTGAGCCGAGATCACACCACTGCAATCCAGCCTCGGTGACAGAGCAAGACTCCATCTCAAAAAAAAAAAGACTTGGAGGAGGGAAAAGGGAAGTTCAGAGTGTGGTTTTGCTTGCTGTCAGATCCTTTTTGTTGCTTTTCTCAACATTTAAATAAAAATGGGAATTGTTTTAAAAATTATTTTATTTTATTTTGAGATGGAGTTTCGCTCTTGTTGCCCAGGATGGAGTGCAGTGGCTCGATCTCGGCTAGCTGCAACCTCTGCCTCCTGGGTTCAAGTGATTCTCCTGCCTCAGCCTCCTGAGGAGCTGGCGTTACAGGCATGTGTTACCATGCCCAGGTCATTTTTTGTATTTTTAGTGGAGACGGGGTTTCACTATGTTGGCCAGGCTGGTCTGAAACTCCTGACTTTAGGTAATCCACCCATCTCGAACTCACAAAATGCTGGGATAACAGGCGTGAGCTACCACACCTGGCCATTAAAAATTAGATTTGTGTGTGTGTGTGTGTGTGTGTGCTTTCGCACATGCGTGTATGTTGTTTTGTTTTTTGAAAATGATACTGCACAGATTCTGGGCTGTATGGGAATCCAGGATTTATGTGGGTTACCTTAAAAGGAAAAGGATAAATTATGGATACCTCCATGTGAAATAGTTGAATATGTTACCACTCACTAAGGTATTTTTTTCCTTCTTAAATTTTTTTATTTTTCTTATTATTGTTATTTTCTTTTTGAGATGGAATCTTGCTCTGTCACCAGGCTGGAATGCAGTGGCGCCATCTCAGCTCACTGCAGTCTCCGACTCTCTGGATTAAGTGATTCTCCTGCCTCAGCCTCCTGAGTAGCTGGGATTACAGGTACGTGCCACCACACCCGGCCAATTTTTGTATTTTTAGTAGAGATGGGGCTTCACCATGTTGGCCAGGCTGGTCTCGATCTTCTGACCTCGTGATCTGCCTGCCTCGGCCTCCCAAACTGCTGGGATTACTTTGAGCCACCGCGCCCGGCCCCCGCAATTTGTTTTTTGGTTTTTTTTTTTTTTTTTTTTTTGAGACAAGGTCTCACTGTGTCACCCAGTCAGGAGTGCAGTGGCACAGTCACTGCTCACTGCAGCCTCAACTTCCTGGACTCAAGTGACCCTCCTGCCTCAGCCTCCCAAGTAGCTGGGACTACAGGTGTGCACCACCATGCCTGGCTATTTTTGTATTTTTAGTAGAGATACGGTTTTGCCATGTTGCCCAGGCTTGTCTCAAGTTCCTGAGCCCAAGCGATTCACCTGCCTCAGCCTCACAAAGTGCTGGGATTACAGGCGTCAGCCACTGTGCCCGGCCCATATAAATTTTTATTTTATTTATTTATTTATGTATTATTATTATTATTTTGGAGAAAGGGTCTCACTCTGTCGCCCAGGCTGGAGTGCAGTGGTGTGATCTGGGCTCACTGCAACCTCCGCCTCCTCGGGTCACGCGATTCTGCTGCCTCAGCCTCCCGACTAGCTAGGATTACAGGTGCCCACCACCACGCCTGGCTAATGTTGTATTTTTATTAGAGACGGGGTTTCTCCATGTTGGTCAGGCTGGTCTCGAACTCCTGAACTCAGGTGATCCACCAGCGTCGGCCTCCCAAAGTGTGGGGATTACAGGCGTGAGCCATTGCACCTGGCCAAAAAACTTCTGTAGAGAGGCAGTCTCGCTCTGTCACCCAGAGGGCTGGGGTGCAGTAGTACGATTGCAGCTCACTGTAACCTTGAACTCCTGGGCTCAAGCAATCCTCCCACCTCAGTCTCCCAAATAGCTAGGACTATATGCCTGTGCCACCATGGCCAGCTTCTAAAGTATTTACTTCCGAGGGAAGTCCAAGGACATAAACTTCCCAAAATGAATGTGTCATAGTAGAATTTCAGAGGCCATAGTGTGGGATGATGGCTTTTTCCTGAAAACAAAACAAAACAAAACACAGTCTTGTCTCATTCCATCTAGTTTGTACCTATTTATCTGGTCTCTGGTTCCTGGGGTCAGCCATGCTTCCTCCTTTGAAATTTGTATCATATCTGGTATGTACTGACCAAAATAACTAACCTTTAACTGTGCATCTTTTGGGGGGAATATTATTCTGCCTTGTTTTCCCTCAAGCAGAAAAAGAACAAATCACCTGCTGCCTCAGGAGGACAGGATTTCTGCCAATCCCACATGTGAGCGGTGTTCATGGCTTCCAGGCAAAGTGGGGTCCTGGGGCCTGCAGAACATTCAGCCACATTCACCAGCCTGTCTCTCTTCCGGACTTGTTGGCACAAGCTTTTACTCTTCAGACTGTGTGTGTTTGGTTTAATCGAAATAAACACAGTAGGATTTTGTTTTAGTTTGTTGTTTGTTTTGCAGAACGAGGTCTTAGAGGGAGGACATCCCAGGCAGAACGAGGTCTTAGAGGGAGGATGTCCCAGCCAAACTTGACCCCACATAGGCCAGAGAGAAGTGGTAGGGAGGGCAGCAAAAAGGAACTATGAAGTAAAATGGAGACTGGATGTGGGGACTGACTTCTTCCCCAAAAAGCCTGGAACATTCTTCTCAAAGCCCCATGCTGCCAAACTTCCCCGCCATTCCCTTGAAATGTTCTCCTCAGAGCAGGGCTCCACATGGCCCGCATGTACACCCATGCGTGCGCGTACCACACACACACGCATACACGCACACGGTTCTGTCTGGTAACAGATTGGGTCTGAAAAATCTGGCAGTCTGCGTGGCCGATGGCAGAGTGTCGAGCCTGTTCTCACTGTCTCCCTGGAGTCCCTGTGCAGACGCAGGTGCACGTCAGCGCCTGCTCTAATTTTATCCCTGGTTGATGGAGGAGACTAACTGAGCAGCAGGGAGGCTGCTATTTTGGGTCTCTCCGTGGCTCTGGGTTATATAAAGCCTATTGCTGTGACCTGCATTGCTTTGAGGCTGTGCCTCACTGTCTTGCGTCCTCTGTCACAATATGTCATCAGTTCAGACATTCACACACACACCCCTGGGTCTCTGGAGAATGAGAAAGGAGGTGTGTGCTGGAGGAGTGTGTGTGTGTGTGTGTGTTCCTGCAAGTTCCCTGAGGAATGAGGCCTACATATGCTACTGGGAGGGATATTGTACGTGAAGGAGGTTTGTTCTTGAAGGAAATGGAAAGATCTTTCTGATGGAGGCACGTGAGGGTATGTGCTTTGGGCTTTAGCACAGATTGTGTTTGTAAGCTGAGGTTGTGGGTCTGCTGTTGGCATGGCAATAAGAAAAACTTCTATTTCAGTAACTCTTTTCATTTTGATGGAACCCAGGGGTTGCATAAATCACACACAAACGGCTCTGCCTTTGAACGACAGGAAATTTTCATCTGGAATTAGGAGTAGCAGCTACATGAACAAACATGAGTGAGAATTTAGAGACGGGCTGATGGCAGACGATGGCGTTTCCTACATCACTGGGGAAATTTTTCACCTGGATATGTTGTCTTTCTGATTAAAAAACAAAATAAAACAAAACTTATGTTTCCTGCTATTGTGATTATTGTGTATTATGTTAAGATATGTGTTTTCTGAACAGGCATGGTGGCCCACACCTGTAATCCCAGCATGTTGGGAACCTGAGGTAGGAGAATTGCGTGAGCCCAGGAGTTTGACACCAGCCTGGGCAACATAGTGAGACCCCTGTCTCTTAAAAAAAAAAAAAGGATATGTGTTTTCTAGAGTTGGTCATATATGGTATCTAAATTATCTTTGTATTTCCCCATATTGAATGTGAATATTTTAGGTATAAATTTTGATAGGTGAACATATAATAGAATCCTAATATAACACAGCTCATTATTGTATGAATTTGAAAGTACTAGGTGTCTCGAAATATAAATTATTCACAGGGAACAAGCCTAACAGATCTCAGTGAGCTTAGCACACAGATATTCATCCTGTCCCCCCAATACCAGCCGGGAAAAGATGTCCCGTACTTGTTGAGCTACGTGTCTCCCAGATATAATCTCCCAGGGTATATTCTGGCTAACATGATGGAGCCCTTAAGGCATCACCAGGGGAATGAGGACTTGGCGTGGACACCTCCTGGCTCGTGGAGCCTGCCAGAATGTGAGGCCTGCGGCTGGGGCTCATCTTGCTGATTTGGGCTTCCCGTCACTGGCAGCTCCCACAGCAGGTGGCGTTCCCATAACTAGCAACTTCACTGAGCCACTGTTTCTTAGCTGCTCTTTGAAAGGCGTTGAAGACCCCTCTCTTCCACCGGCCAAAGCACTTCTAAGGGATTTTGGAGAGAAAAACTTGGGAGCTGTCCATGAAGAAAACAGAAGAATCTGGCAGCCGTTTCCATAGGGCTGAACAGGCGCCTTAGAGATTTCCAGTGAAGGGAGCAGCTAAGGGAAGAAGGAAACAGAAATGAACTAGAATCGAAGTCAGGGCTCGTAGGGGCTGGACGGTGAAATGAAGCTAGGAATGGGGAAAGTATAGATGAATCACTGCGTCGCTTATTAATAATTGATTTAGGCAGAATCTTGCTACTCATGCCCTCCCCCAACCATGGCTAGGGGCAGGAGCTCACCATTCTGGGTCTTTGGTGGTCTGCTTGTTGCCTTCCAATGCCCCTCCACTGTGCTGTCAGTGTCCTTTCTAAAACACAAATCCTGTGATCCCACTGGGTTAGCCTGTTCCGTGGCCCTTCGTTTCTCTCTCTAGAGAAAACCTAAATGCTTTAGCAGATAGACAAGGCCCTCTGCAACCTGGGACCTGCTTATTTCTCTGGATCAGCTCAAACTGCAATCCTCTCAACCCTTCACACCAGCCCTCTCCTCTTTCCACTCCTTGGCATCTTTTTTTTTTTTTTTTTTTTTTTTTTTTTTTTTTTTAATACAGTGTCTCACTCCGTCACCCAAGCTGGGATGCAGTGTGTGATCTCGACTCACTGCAGCCTTGACCTCCTGGGTTCAAGGGATCCTCCCATCCTCCCACTTCAGCTTCCCCAGTAGCTGGAACCACAGGCATGTGCCACCATGCCCGGCTAGTTTTTCTACCTTTTTTTTTTTTTTTTTGTAGAGACGGGGTTTTGCCATATCGCCCAGGCCGGTCTTAACTCCTGGGCTCAAGTGATCCACGTGTCTCACCCTCCCAAATTGCTGGAATTATGGGCATGAGCCACTGAATCCTGCCCTTGGCACCTTAAAGCTAAATGTGCTGAACTCTCCCATCCTCTGTGTGTTAGCATGCACCATTCCATCTGCCTGGAATGCCCTTCCCCATCACTTTTTTTCCCCTGAAAAACTCCAAAGCTTCTTTCAGGCCTCAACTCAAGCAGGACGTGTTAACCCCTCCACACCTGGATCAGGTGCCTTTCCACTCCATCTTTGCTCCCCCTTGCTGCAGTGCTTGAATGCTCTGCAATCTTTCCTGGGGTTCTACAAGACAAGACTTGTAGAGTCTTTTTTTTTGGAGACAGAGTCTCACTCCTTCACCTAGGCTCAGGTGCAGTGGCGCGATCTCGGCTTACTGCAACCTCCACCTCCTGGGTTCAAGCTATTCTCGTGTCTTAGCCTCCTGAGTAGCTGGGATTACAGGTGCATGCCATCACGCCCAACTAATTTTTTTTTTTTTTTTTAAGTAGAGATGGGGTTTTGTCATGTTGGCCAGGCTGGTCTCAAACTCCTGAACTCTAGTGATCCCTTGCCTCAGCCTCCCAAAGTGCTGGGATTACAGGCATGAGCCACTGCACCCAGCCAAGACTGCATTTCCTTACTGGGCCTACTGCTCAGCCTGCCCAATAAGTATTTGCCGAATGAATGAATTGGGGAAGAGGCCACATTTTTTAACTAAACCTTTCTCAAATGTTGTGAGGGATAGGGATTGTGGGAAATGACAGTGACATTGAAGAGGAAAGGCCAGGTCCTGGGAAGTCTGACCATGAGTAAAACCAGTGGGCCTGCAATCGTCTGTCTCCAAAGCCTCAAACAGTGGGGCATAGAACAGACCTGGCCTGTCCTGCCCACCGTTGTATCATGCAGGTAGCACTATTGAGTGGATTGAACCATTAGCAAGGTACCCATCCCACCATGGTGATCAACCACAATGGATCAGCATCTTTCCAGCATTTTTTCCCATCATCTATGGCAGGGCCTGCCTTTTCTGCACTCCCATGCCACCAAGCATCTGTGGGGTAAGAGTAGAGAATTTGTATACGGACCTCCGTGTCCTTCCTGGAGGACCACATGCCTCCATCTATGTCTTCCCCTTGGTCCCGCCAAGAAACTGCCAAGCCAGCTGTGATTCTACAATGACCATCAGAACCTTGCAGCTCCATTCCACCGGGCGGGTTGCCCCCTCTGCCCAGGCCACACCCTGGTGAGACTGGCCTTAGGGACCTGGGCACAGGAGAGGATTCAACAGGCTGAATGCCTAATACTTGACCGAATTAAACTGGGCCACCTTGGGTCAGGGAATTCAGCTCAGCAATTCTGGTGGTAACTGATATCAGTATTTTTGAGGAAATGGAGATAGGATTAAAAGAGACGTCATGCTATAAATCAGGTTCAAATGCACTGAGAGAGACTATTTAATTACATCCCTGATACTGCCTATGTATACAAAGCAATTTTTTATAAGACAGTTAATCACCATTTAATTCATCCATTTTAATATTTACATTTTCATTTATTAGGCTTCATTAAAGTAGGACCTAGCTTTTGTATACTCTGAAGGCATCACTGCTCAAAATATTTTCATTTAATACTGTGTCAAAAACTGCCTACTTATCTTCCAAAGATAGATCTGTGTGTGTGTGTGTGTGTGTGTGTGTATGTGTGTGTGTGTGTATACATGGACTGCTGTCCTAAGTCCTTTGTCTCCTCTTCTCAGAGTCTGCCCCATGATAACAAAATAATAATGATGTTATTCCAGAATAAACTTGCAATGTGGGGGCTGGAAGTGGTGGCTCACACCTGTGATCCCAGTACTTTGGGAGGCCGAAGTGGGTGGATCACTTGAGGCTGGGAGGTCCAGACCAGCCTGGCCAACATGGTGAAACCCCGTCTCTACTAACAGTACAAAAACAAAAATTAGCCAGGCATTGTGGTGCATGCCTGTAATCTGAGCTACTTAGGAGGCTGAGGCATGGGAATTGCTTAAACCCGGGAGGCAGAGGTTGCAGTGAGTGCAGATTGCACCACTGTACTCCAGCCTGGGTGACAGAGCAAGACTCTGTCTCAATGAATGAATGAATCAATCAATCAATAAACAAACTTGCAGTGGGGAAGGTGGGTACATAACCGGCATTTTTGTGAAACTTTCAGAATTTTATTTTATTTATTTTATTTTATTTTTTTGAGTCTTGTTCTATGGCCCAGGCTGGAGTGCAGTGGCACAATCTTGGCACAATGCAACCTCTGCCTTCCGGCTTCAAGCCATTCTTCTGCCTCAGCCTCTCGAGTAGCTGGGACTACAGGCACCTGCCACCACGCTTGGCTAACTTTGGTATTTTTAGTAGAGACGGGGTTTCACCATGTTGGCCAGGCTGGTCTCGAACTCCTGGCCTCAAATGATCCACCCACCTTGGCCTCCCAAAGTGCTGGGATTACAGGAGTGAGCCACTGTGCCCGGCCAGCTTTCAGAATTTTAGACAGTGCCTTCTTAGGCTCATGGATCCTGACAGCCCGCTGTGACAGAGAGGGAGAAGGAGAGAGCCTGCGTGAACAGGAGCCTGAGGGACTAGAGAGGAAAGGAAGATGGCTGTTGGCACACTTGCAATTTTAGAACAGCTGCAGTGGTTAGAGTAGCTCCCCCTGAATGTGATGACGCTGGGCCACTTAGCGGAAAGGGAGAGAAGATTCTACAGCTAATGACAAGGAGGAGGGAGGACTCGCTATACTCAGTGGGTGGGTATTAAAGGGATTATGTGTATTAGGCAGTATTACCAGAAAGGCATGTGCTTTAACTGCCAAGAAACTATTAATGAATTGGAACGCCTTCCAGGGATGAGAACAAGTTAAAACAATATATTCTGTGCTCAACATGTACAATATTTCAAAATCAGTAGGACATTTGGCTTTATGGGACATGATGAGGGAGAAATTACAGAAGATCTCATATCATCATTTAATTTGGTCTCTTTTTAAAAGTCAAGTAACAGGGCTCTCCATAGTAAGGGTACTAGCTAACATTTATTGAATGTTGACTGCATGCTTATTGCTCATTTAAAGGTTCTATATCCAGGCTGGGCGTGGTGGCTCATGCCTGTAATCCCAGCACTTTGGGAAGCTAAGACAGGTGGATCACTTCAGGTCAGGAGTTCGAGACCAACCTGGCTAATACAGTGAAACTCCTCCTCTACTTAAAATACAAAAAGTAGCCAGGCATGGTGGCATGTGCCTGTAGTCCCAGCTATTTGGGAGGCTGAGGCATGAGAATCACTTGAACCCAGGAGGCAGAAGTCGCAGTAAGTTGAGATCGCATCACTGCACTCCAGCCTGGGCAACAGTGTGAGACTTGGTCTCAAAAAAGAAAAAAAAAAAA